CCCCAACAATCAGAAGGAGCCTTGCATTAAAAAAGGTTGAGAACCTCTGGTTTAAAGGACTGTTTATTCTATCACTATTAGTTGCCCTTAAACTAGTGTTGTTGTGGTGAAGTTTGAGTATTTGCAGTGCACTGGATCACCTGGACACGTATAGGGAGACCCCTTAAAGGGACTTATAGGAAAATACAGATGGATGTTATTACAAATACTGAATGGGAATGATAATTTATGTTTGCAGGAACTGAACTGAAGAAAATGTGAGATCTTTTTGCATGTTCTATTTTTTTAATTATTTTTAAAAATTAGAGAACAAAAACAATTGACTTATAAAGACCTGATTAATAAAGAGCCGCAGTGAAAACATCGAATGATTCCTGTCTCTATTCTTCCTGTTTGCAACAGGTTTTTATCATCTGGTATGAGGCCCATATTCTTTTGTAAATCAGTAATAGAAATGCGTGATTCTTTATGATAGGTATATCAAGAGACATTCTCATTTTATATGCAAAATCATCCCCAACCCAGCTCTGGATATCTGCAAAGCAGCTGCTTTGGACCGTGACCTTTATCCTCCGTCAGATTAAAACAACCAGTTTCAAAGGGACTCTTACTTTTAACCACTGATTTATAGTATAGTGGGAGAGGAAACGTGTAACTGCAATTTAATGGAACTTGAAGGTTTGGAGTTCTACCAGTAAGCTAGTGACACTTAGTGGTTCTATGTGATATTGCATGCTTCATTAAACAGCAGAAGAATCCAGTAAAATACAATTCCTGTAAGAGACTCCTGCGATTCATTGTTATGTAGCTTTTTATTCAGAGTCCAGACATCCTGGGTTATGGGGGCTGAACATGGGATGAAATGGTACCGGTCAACAGGAATGCTCATTTTCCAAAAGGTTGTTGAAAAGAGCAAGTTCAGTGAGTTATCTGGATTCTTTTGATGAATAAAAAACACAATTACAAGATTTCCTTTATATCATTCCTTGGTCCTGGAATAAATTCCCATATCACAAATATAAAAAAACGAAAAACTTAAGGGGAGCAGACGTAACCTATGTAGATTGTTAAGGAAATAAAGAGCATTAGAGCAGCCACCTTTGATTGTATTTTTACCCCGATCTATGCATGATCAAAAAATATTTCTAATTCTGGTTAATTTAACTCAAATTTGAATGAATCCCCTTTTAAAAAAAAAAGTAAATATCCCAGAACCCCAACTTTCCAGTGTTACGTTTGTATTTACCCACAGAAATAATAAGGGAATTATCCTGAATGTAGAATGGTAATGGGATTTAAACAGGGGACATTTGGAAAACCCATTGACTCTTCTAATGTTTACATTCGAGAAAAATGTGCAAAAAAGCAGGGGAAACACAATATAATTTAATCTCATCTTTTATTCGATTAGGTTGTCATGTAAAGCAAGTTAAAAGATGGAATCATTTATTGACCGCCCCTCAGACGCAGGACAAGATGCAGGGTGGACTCCTTCTGGATGTTGTAGTCGGAGAGGGTGCGGCCATCTTCCAGCTGCTTGCCGGCAAAGATCAGCCTCTGCTGGTCTGGGGGGATGCCTTCCTTGTCCTGGATCTTGGCCTTCACATTCTCGATGGTGTCGCTTGGCTCGACCTCCAGGGTGATGGTCTTGCCGGTGAGGGTCTTGACGAAGATCTGCATGCCTCCACGGAGACGCAGGACAAGATGGAGGGTGGACTCCTTCTGGATGTTGTAGTCGGAGAGGGTGCGGCCATCTTCCAGCTGTTTGCCAGCAAAGATCAGCCTCTGCTGGTCTGGGGGRATGCCTTCCTTGTCCTGGATCTTGGCCTTCACRTTCTCGATGGTGTCGCTTGGYTCGACCTCCAGGGTGATGGTCTTGCCAGTGAGGGTCTTCACAAAGATCTGCATGCCTCCACGGAGACGGAGGACAAGATGGAGGGTGGACTCCTTCTGGATGTTGTAGTCAGAGAGGGTGCGGCCATCTTCCAGCTGTTTGCCAGCAAAGATCAGCCTCTGCTGGTCTGGGGGAATGCCTTCCTTGTCCTGGATCTTGGCCTTCACGTTCTCGATGGTGTCGCTAGGCTCGACCTCAAGGGTGATGGTCTTGCCGGTGAGGGTCTTCACAAAGATCTGCATGTTTGCTCCTAGGTAAAAGATATATCAAATCAGGATTTAGTACAAAAATAAAAATTTGTGAAACAAGTTATTTTAAATTGCTAGCCATTTATTTTATAGTTACAACTATTAAAATAGATTATAAGAAGAAGCGCTGGAATTACTAAGTTACGATCGTGATCAAATGAGAATCGCACTTTATTAAATATATTAGAATATTCCATTTATGTGAAGCTCTGAACCGTCAGCGGCCATTCCGGTCCCAGCGCCATTTTGAGATCATACTGACCTCCCCTTTGTTCAGCTGACGTTACTCCCTAATGGACGATACTAGAATGTTGACTCATTGCCAAAGCTAACATTAGCTTACCATGAAATCGACGAGGAACCAATTCGACGTTAACGGTAAGCAACCCATATAATGATACAAATATTGTAGCTAAACGGCTCGATTGTATTGTGAAGATTTAACGTCAATTTGAGGCAGACTGAAGTATTGTTAACGTCTGCTTCAATTCTGTCGAGTTACTCTGGCAATGGTCACCAAACAACGACTAAAAACATTGGCTGTATAAATAATTTAAACTATAGAATTGATACAGCCTGAAAATAGGTACTTACTTGTCAGAAACGCAGTTAATATTTCGTCTTATGCCTGAAGCTGCTGCTGCTGCTTCTTCTCGCTTCCTCTGCTTGAGAACTATACTGCAGTAGACAACGCTGTGTTATATACCGGAGTCTGCATACGTCATCTGTCCTTATATCCGTCCGCATTTCAAAGTAGTTCCCACTGCTCCGAATCCCACTATTGTATCGTGACAGTATTATTGTATTTAACAATCAAACGCTTACTCACAAACGTAAATATTTAGTCAAAAATAGTCTGATTGAAAACGATATTTTGACATATCTTACGCGGCGGAGTAATATCTCACCAGCTGGCTGTAGAATTTTCTCGAACGACCGTAGCAACAGAAACCATCTCCATGCCTCCGATTGGATCGCAGGATTGTTTGTTTGAACAACGATTGGTTGCTGTGTCACAGTCAGTACGGTTTGATGACTAAAGTTACAGTTATGACTGTCGGGTTATGAAACAGATGATTACGATAATTATTCAAGACCTAACGTTAAGTAGATAAGGTGATGATGATAGTGTAGCCTTACCCACACATTAGCTTTTCCACGTCTTTCCTCTTTCTGTAAAATAGTATATCATACCAATATTGTTATATGAGGAACTCATCTGACTATGCATTCATGTGACTCGAAAGAGGGACGTGTGCAGATGGGTATTCCGTTGAACTTTATCAAACGTGTCTGTTAACAGATGGAAACGTGCTACGACAGCGACCTAACCTCATTCACTAAGCCATATCCACATCAGGTGTCATGCTACACATACCATCTTAATAAAGGATACATTCGTGATTTATATCCAACCTTAACACCACTGCAAAATATGTTGATAAGCAGAATTAGCTGATATTGGTTATCTGCCAGGCACACAATAAAGTCTTGACCTAAATACTGAAACATGGGATGTTTAAGTATAAGGTAATTAGAATTGACTAGTGTCTACATGAGTCTGTCTGAAAATAAGTTCAAATGACAGCAAAGTTGTTGTAGAGTGAAAATAGTGGGGACGGCTGTGCCCTTTTTCTGCTTATCAGAATGTACATACTGCACAGAAAGTAGATTTGGCAAGTCACCTGTCCTATGAACTCACAGCACTCACAAGCACATTGTGTACACGTGGAAACACAATTCTCACACACTCCTAAGGCCTCTCTCAACATTATGTTTCCTTATGTTTCCAGCCTTGTAGGCCCATTGTTATTTTTCCGTGGCTCGGGCTGTATAACTAGATCGGTTCATAGGAAGGAATGTAATGGTCGTTTCAGATTTGTTTCCCATCTTCCTTGTTATTTTTCGTTGTTGAGTATTTATTCCGTAGGCAAGATATTCACAGGAAAGGGCGTGATCTTGTTCTCATGAGCATTGAGTCTCAATGCCAGGCATGTCGACAACGCCCAGGTGAAACTGGAAAACTGGTACAGTAAGTTTTTGTGTCATGTGTTTACGTGATTTATCTCCCCACTTTTAGCTCCCACCATTATCACACACAACTGCTGCACTGTAATCTAAATTAAATCAAAGAGCAAAAGCTCAGATGAGGGTCTGTAGCCTACTGGGATCCTATATTTTGGGTCATGATACAGCTGGGAGAGTCCTAATATATGTATTTGGGTCACAGCATTCCCTCGCCCTACCCCTCCACCACCCCTGTCATATGACACCCAACCCGTGACGCACTACGCCAGTACTTTCCAACACAAAACTGGGCGTCTGGCTGAACTAGTTTAACCTCTGAGGAATGTGTTTGTGCAAGTCTGCTGTACTTTGCCCTGCCCCATTGCTTGGAGTGATTATGGACTGCCTCAAAGTGTTCCAGTAAAAACAATCTTTCAAGCAGGGCATAGTCCTCGCTGATTACTGCGGAAGCTGACTCTATTATCACATGAAATAGAAGTGTCTGTGGCTCGGGGCAAGAAACTTGAGGTGCCCACCTTTTGAATTTGATTGTCACATTCAATGATCACGTCAACCGCTGTGAATCGGTCAAAGGCTTGGAGGCTTCTCATGTAAATGTGACCCTTATCAGTGGTGGATTGATTAATTGGGTTCATTGTGTTTTCTTCAGCAGGGTCATTGGAGCTGTTTTTTCAGGCGGGACATTCAGTTCCACGTCAGCAGTTTTCACAATAAACGCATCACCAGTTTCATCATCAGCCGTCATCAGACACCTGATCCTTCACTTGTTCACATCGACGTGACTGAAGTAAGGCCTCTCATCCCAGAATAGTCCTATATGAACATATGTGTCCATCGTGATGGTTTGTTGTTGTTCTCTGTACCCACAGGATGGATCTCGTGAAACACACGGGCGGCTGCCACTGTGGGGCTGTTAGATTTGAAGTCTTGAGTTCCCCAGACCTCCATGTTTTCCATTGCAAGTACGGATATTAAATTCAATTACATTGTGTCACTGTTTTAAATTACAAATTACGTTTGTCAAAAAGAAAACAAGGTTGTTTAAGACAAGTACATTTTTAAGTTTTGGTTCATCCCATCACGTTAAGGAGACTTCAAACAATACTTCGCTGCCTGTACACTTTGTATCTAATCAATATAAACTCATTTGTGTCTGTTTCTCCAGCTGCAGCATTTGCCAAAAGAAACAAAACCATCATTTCATTGTTCCAAAAAATCTCTTCACACTCTTAAAGGTAGCAAACTCGAGCAAAAACCTTGGATACAACTGTATATTTAAGTGAATAATTGCTATTTTTCTTATCTTCCCAGGGGTCCGATAATCTGACCACATACACGTTTAACACTCACGTTGCCAAGCACACCTTCTGTAAAACCTGTGGAGTTCAAAGTTTCTACACTCCACGCTCCAACCCTGATGGATATGGTATGACCGCAAACACAAGACAGTCACACCGTTCTCATGTGTTTTCAACTTACATTCTGCTGTGTTTACTCAAAACTAACCGCCCCGCTCTACTATATTTGTGGCATTTGGTATTTTCACAATGAGAGAAATATGTTCTATAATGGATCACAGTGTTATAAGCAAACCACCCTTGTAACCTAATATTGTGCATTATGGAGCCATAAGTTGTCAGTGAAATGTGCTGGAGACAATGGACTGGTGTGTTCACATGTAACTAACGGAGCTGTCCTTTGTTGCTGGTGTTTTCTCCACAGGCGTTGCTCCGCACTGTCTGGATCCGGGTACCGTCCGCAGCATCACAGTGGAGACGTTTTGTGGTGAGAAGTGGGAAGAAAGCGTGCAGGCTCACAAGAGCATCAGAGACATGTCCAAAAACACAGCTGAGAGCGAAACTAAATAACACCACCGTGATGTAAGAATACATTTTATTATTCAGCAGTCTAACAGAAATGCTGTACAGTATTTTCAACATATGAGATGAAAAAAAAGCTCAACTCATTCAAACCCTAGTGTTGTTTGTTTTACAGTGTAAAGACAATAAAGACGCTTTTGAAGCAACAAACGAAAATGTCAGCTTTGTTTTCGGAAAATGCTTATGAAAAAATGTTCAGGCTACTTTTAGCCAATGAAAAAGATCTTTATTAACAGTGAGCAAAACAGCTCATCATGTAAACTAAACTCGCTCCTACCACAGTAATCAGGGAGTTAGGCAGCAGGACACCTACAGTAACACAGTGACAACTTAATACACCTTCAGGTTCTTTGGTCCTTGTGGGATCATTTGGAATGTGTTGACGAACATGTACCGCGAGAAGGTGATGTAGAGGTAACGAAACCACAGGAGTTGAGAGCGGTGACAAAACATGGCATCCTGAAAAGAAAAGGTTTGTCTGATGTTAGTTAAACCCAGTTATTGCGAGATCCTAAGTAACAGCAGATAGTGGTCAAAATCTATCCACTGCTTAGTGTAAATGTATTTATACCTTCATATAAAAATATTAGCTTGATGACACATATCCTCAACTGCAGCGTAGTCGCTCACATTTACAAACTTTATCTCTTCTCCTGCCTCTTCAGCACATATACTGCATGAAGCCTCGTTAAAATAGACGGGGACCTTGTCTTGCCAACAAACTGTCCTTTTGGAGGCTTACTTTGGCCCGCCTGTAGCCCTGTGAGCCGATAATACAGCGGAGGCACGAGGGCAGCAGCCAGCTGAAGGGGAGCTCCAGGAAGGAGACGTACTTCCTGAGGAGGCCAACGGTCACCAGGGAGAGCAAACGGCAGTCTGGGAGGACAGACAAGAGACCCAGTTAGCTGTTAATATGTTATATGTGCACTACAGCAGCGGACCGTTCTCTCAACTAGGCTGGTCTCTCAGTTTGTTCTGAAACTCCTGTCAGTAACATACTACAATGTAATACAAGGACACGTAGGCTGTTCCTCCTGTGAAGCATATATACTGTAATTGTATGGCCCACACGGTCAATATGGTGCAGAAATGTTCAACTATGACCTTTGTCATGCAGCAAGAGTTTGTGGGGCGCCAGAGGCTCGGTAAGGAGCAGCGAGCACAGCCAGGCGAAGGGGCTTATTACAATGACGTTGGGCCTAATTCTCTCCCGCCTCCCCTAGAGGCTACAGTAAGAGCCAAGTGTAAGTGCTAAGTTAATATCTGCCCGAAAAGAGAACGTACAGAGCCGGCACTCACACCGAATGTAGGCCATATGGTGTCAAGGCTCTGTATAACATCCCTAAGACCTCTTGCTCCGGTGAGAATGGGTCTCCATGCCGTGTAGTGAGATGCTATCAAAGTGCAAATGCGTGGTAATGAATAACCAGTGAGCGTGATTGATGACAGACCTGCTGCTTTTGAGGTTGCTCACTGTGGGGATAAAGAGGGGCCCGGCAGCTCGAAGATAAAGCTTAAATAGTTAAAGGCAAAGTTTGCTGTGGCCTCAGGACTCGGGTGATAAAATCTCCCTGTCATTCAACAGCAGCAGTGCAACCGTTCGTATCTCATGTATGATTAACCGCTTCTTATCGCGTCTACTCAAACTTTAATGCGGGTGTGCTCTGTAACCGGCAAAGTAATGAGCTCTGAGTCTGTTGTAGCATGTTGCCTCCTCTCTGTCCTACTTTTACTTCCACATAAATTTACATGGAGGACGTCATCATTAGTTGAAACTCAAAGACCAATTGGCACACGTTTTGATTTTGCCTCGACAGTAGACGTGTCGAGAGCCAGATGCACTGATTTTAACATTGGAGACTGAAATTAGGAATGAAACCATCATATCTAGTTTGAGGTGAACTATCCAGCCAGCCTTATGTTGCCACCAGCAGACCAAAATGTTTGGAGGAGATGCGAGACTCATGCAACCCTTTTGAACAGCAGAGGGCGCTGTACATTAACAAAAAAAAGAGTCAGTGTTTACAGCAGTGTTCTCTAAAACACAGACTGGAGGGGTGGTGCTACTAATGTGAGGAAGTCATTGTTTGTGCTGCTTAATACTTAATATTTGACTTTTTATCTGAATATTCACATAGTGACCAGTAAATCCAACCTGTGACACTTTGGTCACAAACTTTTCAAAAATATGAACCTCTTAAAAGTTTTCTTTTTTTGACACACCTACCATTGGGTACTTGTCCGGTGAAAGCGAGATGGCTGTAAAGTGGAGAAAAGCAGAAAATGTCAAAGAGGCAAACGTTCATTGTGGTCAAAGAGATGCTACATGTTACTCCCAGGGTTCGTGTTGGCGACCTCTACAAAAGAAATGACCACGGTGTGATGTTTCTACCTGCCGACATGTAAGTGAGATTAGAGTTTTGGATATGCTGATTACAACACAAGTGGGTGAGAAGTCAATGACTGTAAGCCCACAGAAAAAGGCCATACAGTAAGCCCTGCTACTGCTGAATATCTACCACTGTGTGTGTTTCAGGTCATGCTGTATTGAGTGCTGGAGGTTGTTTTTTTTCTGTGAGGCAAAAACATAATTCTCCATTTCATGTTCCTCTGTTACTACAGTAACTCGTCTTTAAATCTTGGTAGGAGTCAAAGTTTTCTTCCAAACTTGCATTTCCAAATCCGATCGCTGTTGACGAAAACAAAACAAAACTCAACAACAACCCATTGAGCTCGGAGAAACTAGTTCACGGCCCCTCTGGGATACCAGCCTGATGGGAATCATGAGATGTGATTGACAGAGGGCCGTGCAGGCTCAGTGAGGGAAAACCCAGTGACCAACACGGCAGGCAATTAGGGCGCAACGTGGGGACGGCGGCGTACACTTCACGGTGCAAAACCAACGGCCTGATGCAACTTGCGCGGTTTGGCCTCTCCAAACCAGAGCTGCCCTCCCACCTCACCACTTCAGGGACAGGATTTACTGCTGCTCTCTGGGAGCAAAGCCGAGTGCCTCTGAGGACTCTGTTTGGACGACCTCTCAGCTATGTAACAGGCCGATTCTAAAAAAACATGGTGTGTGTGTGTGTGTGTGTGTGTGTGCGTCTTTGTGGGGAAACATTTGGAAAGATGGATGTTGATGCGAGTCCAAATGTTTTCCTGGAGACTGTTTTACGATTGTGGAGTGGGCTGGTTTCTGTGTGCGTGTGTAAGCCACATAATATCCCTGAGGATGGCATCTTTAAGTTGAAAGTCTGTATTTCCTGATGACAAAGCCTTAAAGTTCAGTCAGTACCTGACAGCTTTATGGATGGCTGTGTGATTGGCATGGCCACTCACTCCGCTCCCATCGAAGGTCAGCACCTGAAACAACAAAATATCTCACTGTGTGGGTGAAAAGCCAGAACCTGGGTATCTAAAAGTGGATTTAAATAAACGGAGGCAGAAGATTTTTCTTGGGTTAGTGGAAGGGCTTTTCTTTGCCTGACTGTGGAGCTGCTTGGCAGCTGACAACTGATATTTAAAAGCCTTTTTTTTCTCCCCTGTGCGCATGCTTGCACAGCAGAGGAAGCAAGTGAAAAAAACAAAAAGAAATCAGGTCAAAGGGAAAGAAAGAGTGCTTGACTAAAGACTTGGCATTTGTTATGCTCAGGCGTATTCTACCATGACTATGTCATTGCAATCAAGCCTAAGTTTGAGCTCCCAACCACATATTATAATGAACAAGTGAACTCTCGCCTCATTCTTGTTGGCTTGTGTATGGAAAAGCAAGGGAATGGCCCAGTGTCAGACCAAGGAAACAAGTTATTCATTAAGAGCAGGAAGAGTGAACTACTTTTTTTTTTACTTTGTTTATCTCTGTGTGCTTTTGCTGAATGCATTTGTTAGATAAGACATGTTCCCCTGGCTTACTTTTTGGTCTGGAGGCATTTTTTGCTGCTCAGCCTGACAGGAAGGGAGGAGACGGTGTGTTTGTTTGTCGTCGTTGATAACAAAAAGAGATCAGCAACTACAGCATAGAAGCACCCAGCTGTGTGTGATCATCTTCCCTAAAGAACTGTGGGCTGCTGGGTTTTTCGTTTTTTGCCCCAAGCTGCTGTATTTTATAGTTTGAGAGTTTGACTTTTTGTGCCGTTGTTGAGAATGAGCGGATGAAAATTCTTTAAATCTAAATGAACCACATTCCCATTAGCTAATAGTGCAGAACTGCACCGGGGCAGATAAGAATCTCTGTGCAAACAACACAATTGAGTACAAACTTTCCGCTGCAGCAGAGATGTCCCCTCGTGTTGAAGGGAGGTTCAAGATACAAAAAAAAAAAAAAAAACACGCTGGCTGACAGGATTATTACGCAGACCACAGTGAAACTTGGATAATGAGCTCGAGAGCTGTGGTGCCAAGATGTAAAAAAACCAAAACAAAATACATGGGTTTTTGTACACTGAATGGCATTAACATCAAACAGGAAATAACAGAAAAACGACTGTTTCTTAAAGGCAGAGCTGAGCATACCATGTTGAAGGAGTGAGCTCTCATGTGCTGCACAATTACAGAGGAGACCAGTGAGACGCTCCATTCTGCTTTGGGATCGTCTGGAAGTTTTCTGAAGGGGCAAAAAAACAAAAACAAAGGGACTGGTTATCTAGTATTACAACAGTGTTTTACTGAGACACAAGAGGGCATTGTGTTTGCATTGTAACCTCACTGTAACTGAGAGTCAACTGTACACAACATAAGCCTTCCTTTCCGAGCACCAGATTTCTGTAGTGCAGATTTAACCCAGCGTTTGAAAAAGGGCTGTTATAGAAAGCAAACACGAGGGAGTGCTGGGAAGCCCGGTGGGTGGGGGGGGTTAAGGGTCGGACGGCCCTTAGCATCGTCTTCATCTGAAACTATAGCCTGGAGACAACTCGGAGCGTACACATCAAACATCCCACTTGGCCGGCTCAAGCTCTCAGCCTACTAAACATGCATGGACTCTCTTTTTTTGGCACAAATAATAACTGCTTTTTCTTCTCAGTTTAGAAACTAAAAGGCATCGCTTCGTACGGTAGTTCAACGTCCCCCTTGCCCTCAAGAGAAACCAGCCACAAAAAAAGTGATTGAAAACATAACCAAACTCACTCAGTTCACATAAAAAAAAAAAAAAGTCCTGCGGGTTTCATTGGAAGTGGAGTGGATCCAGTTATGAGAAACACAACCAACAGTTTGAAACACTAAACTGTGGGGGTTTTGGTTTGACAATGACGTGATGTGTTGGGGTAGCACAAGGTGGCGTGACAGTGCATATATATATATATATATATATATATATAAAAAGTATATATATAAAAAGTGGGGGTAGGTGTGTGTGGGGGTGTCGACAGTTGTTCCCCTCCCCTTCTTCGCTAACAATGAGCCAGGACAGTTGAGCTGGTAGGGGGAAGTGATGGATTAGGCTACAAATCTATTGGGCTGCCAGTGATGTGAGGGTCAGGCTTTGGTGTGAGGGGCAGGGGTCGGCTATGTCACAGGGAGGAGGGGTGGGGGGGGTTCAGAGATAGTTTAAAACAGTCTTTCATAGAGTGAATGGACTGTTGTGACATGTCGTAAGGATTGTGTGTGTGTGTGTGAACCGGTATACCGCCCAGCACTAGTGTGTGTTTGTGGTTTAGAGTAGGATGGCACAGTTAAATGGAATCTGAACCAATGTTAAATGCTGCCTAAATTAATAAAACACAAGCTTATTGTCCTAATTTGTCTGCTTTAGACTGAAGGCTGGTGAAAACAAGAAGAGGATTTTGTGAGAATTTGGCATAAGCGCATGAATATTAAGTATCTACACTCACGCACTATGCAGCTTTTTCCGCTCACTTGTATTTATTTGAGACATTTTGCCTTCTAGTTCAACAGCCGCCGCTAAGCACAAGCCTGCACCGAGGGGGAGGAGAAAAACAAGCTAAGAAAAATGAATAAAAGACACAAGACACCTGACCTTTCTCAAGCTGAATGTGTCAGCTTTGCCATGGCAACAGTGCAAAATGTCCTAAAGTAACCTCCCCAACTCCCCCTTTTGTAGCTTTGCATGTGGATGTTTAATTGCTTACAGGCATCTGTATGCAGTTGTTGAACTTTGGCCCAGTAAGGGGATTCGGTGTACGTGTGTGTGTGTGTGTGCGTGTGTGTGTGTGGGTGTGTGTGAGAGGGCTTGTTTAGTCTGGTCACATGGACCACAGGCCTGTGAAACTGCCAGACGTCTTTCCACACAGTCAGATTACGTGTCTTGCCTGGAATGGCTGAGATGCCACTACAAACTGACAGTAGGCCTACGCCCACACTGTAATAAGGCAGTTACAACCATAGTAACTGCACCGATACACACGCATGATGTTTCACAATTATGAGTGGTTGCAGTTTTTTTAAAATTTTTTATATTCACTCATCTTGATGTAATAAAGTGTCATGAAAACAACCACGGAAATAACACCGTTAACCACGGAGATGATTATTTTAGTGTTGCATTGGATGCAAGTTGTGCAGAGAAAGAGCAATCTAATGTGCCAGAGTGACGGTCCGTTGCGGGCATATGGGAAAAGCTGCTGTTTGACAATGCGGAGGCCAGCGGGTGACAAATGTATCGAGGATAAAAGCACAGCCAGAGGTCAGCGGCGAGGCTGGAACATCCCACCACTATTTACTGCGCCCCGCCATTGCCCTTATCATTTGGCTAGGGCTACTTTTTTTTACCACTGATCAATGTATTTAAACCCTGTGTGGGGATACGGTGTCAACGAACACCGCTTTTAGAAATAAACTCGATCTGAAGTGTGCTGTCATGAACAGAGTCAAATTAAAGTTGGAAAGAAATGAGATGGGTGAGCTAGAGAGAGGATAATGTAGTGAAGAAGAGGTCGGATTTGCACAGTGAGCAGCTATACTCGAGTCCAGGGTGCAGACAGAGGTCAAGCCAGTGCAAGTGGAGAGGCAGCAGAGCGTGCTCAGATCGAGCTTGATCACAAAGGCCCCAACATGCACTGGGGCCCCAGATACTGTCCACACAGCTGTCCTATTCAGTGAGCATTAAAGGGAAAATCCTATTTTAAAACTGAATTCACGTGTTACTCCTGTTGATTCCGCGGGCTACGGTTGCGACTGGGCAAGTCTCGCCCAGATCGTGAAACGTAGCCCACACTGTCTGCTAGACTTTGGTTGTGAAGTTGAGAAAAACCAGTGGCTCTGTCACACTACCCTGATGAATGAGATGAAAGTACAGTAGCCTCAGCCTAGACTGCAATAAAACACACATTGACATACATCTCGTCTGGTACTGACTGCTTTACTTTTGCTTATTTCTAATGCAGTTTAAAATACGATATCTTGACGTCACTTCTCTCATTAAGACAATGTCAGCCTACACTGCCTTTGCTGCGCATCTTGACGTGTTACCGCCACCTGTGGATCATTGGAATAGTGTGAAACCATGAGCAGGGTGTGTATCGCATCACGTGCGTCCTCATGCACAAGATAACCAAAACAGGGACCCATTCATAGAAAAACAGCTCCCTGCGTTTAAAAAAAACTCCTCCAAGAAAGAATGTGAAACGTCATTGCAAGACCAAATGACTCATTACAATGGAGTTTATGCAAAACTGTTACAACAAAGTGAACAAGTGAACTAAAGTCCAACTTAGTGGACAGTGACAAGTGTGGAGGCTGACTCTCCAAGGTACAGCACACTTCCTGGTTTGCATTACAGAGAAATGATACCCATCTTGGCATAAACTTGAGCCAAATATTTTGAGAGCATAATCTCTGAGGATCTGCTCCAGGTTTCGTCACATAAAAATATCCCGTCTTGAGCCACGGTGTTCATATTCATAGCTATTGAGCTCGTTGTAGACATGACATTATCTTTGACGACTTCACAGCTTAACACTAGAGACCATTGACAAAATGCACAGACATTTTTGTTTCTATTCAAAAGTAGACTTCTACTCTATCTGAGGTGTAAACATGAAAAAATTGACCGGCTACCAAATTCTTTGTGCACAATAAAATGACCAGTGAGAAAAAAAGGGAGAGGTCAAGACATTGGGTGGACATCTGCACATAATTGGGCAGAGAAGGTGAAGAGCAAGGCCAAAGTGTGGCTAGCCATGTACAGACACACAAGGAGGGAAAACTGTTTGGATTGACCTACATTAGCAGTGCTCCGCGCATTGCCAAAATGTATCCCACAGTCCTTGGTAGTTGACTTCAGCAGACATGGACAAGAGGAGGAGGAGGAGGAGGAGGAGGAGGGGTGGAACAGAGAGGGGGAGCAACGACAGAGAGAGAGGGAGAGAGCTTGTTTGGGAGTGCGTGGGGCTCTCAAAGTGCTGATTAGGTGTGTGTTTTGGGCAAACAACAGAATACACAGAAAGGGAAAATGGGCTACACTCCAGTTCAGCAGAAGTGCAGACAGCACCAAGATCAAAGTTCAGCTACATTCTGTGTGCACAAGATGATAACACTGTAAAGTCTGTGTGTGTGACCACACACACACAGACACACACACACACACCTACAATGTTCTCGAGGGCAGACGACCTGGGTAGGCTGCCAGCTTATTACTGTGAGTTCCAGATAGTGCCAGAGTTCATGCAGCTCTCCTGGTGAGCCAACATGTAGAGACTCACATGTAGGCAGCCCCGAGGTTCTTAGAAACTCAAAACATTTTCAAGTGAAGCTGCAGGTTTGATCCACTTGAAAAAAAAAAAAAATCCCCCCTTTGAACATCACCTTTTACCACTACGTTCTCTGTAACTTGACCTCGCCAACAGAAAGAGCCAGGAGACTGAAAGTCCTACAGCTGCATCAATAGCAAAAACGCAGACGAAAACAGAAGAAGAGCGAGTTTCCCAATAATTTGGCCGACAGTATTGTTCAAAGTTCTGGCTCCCGGTTCTGCTCGCCGCTTTGATTGTGAAATGATAATGGTTATGAGTGAAGACCGTTTTAACTTGGAGGCATTTACAGACACACCGAAAGAACTATAGCTGTTTCTGTACATCTTTTACAGCATTCCACGGTGCTCAGTGAAGTGATTTTAAAAAGTCTGATTTTACATTTGAACTGTCATGTTCCTGCAACAAAGCTGGAATGTGCAACAATTGTTTTTGTGCCATTAAGTAAAATGTTGCAGGCACAGATAGGCTCAAAAGTTTGGCAATACAAGAAACACTTAACCCTAAAAAATGACAAAGTCTGAGGCCTGTTTTCAGCAAATCTGAGCTACCTGGCTCAGCAGCTATGAATGAATGAATGAGGTACTGTATTTGGGTAGCACCAACATATTTAATTCCGCACTGAAGAGGCAAAAAAATTATGTTAATTAGCCCTGTAGTCATCCAAATGCACTCAATTTCCCCTGTAGAGATCATTGACACTGAATAATCCAGGTTTGCTCAGAACCAACAAACAGCCCAGTGGTGCAAACATTACAGGCTAAATCAAATCGTCATAGTTCCATGAAGGACAACTTTCTTTTTTAAACTAAATTGTGAAATAAGTAAATAAACAAAAAAACATAGTTTAAGATGGCTTTAAACTGAATTTAAAAACATGCTTTACTATACTCTTCAGAGGTGGATACATAAATAGATATACAGTATTATGTAGATAGATGGATTGGACTGATTCTAACATGCAGACACTTGACTTATGAACTGAGGGCAGCATAAGCAGGTTTTCAACATTAAAAGGCACACAAATGAAATGTTGTACTTTGCATGTTGTGTATTTAGTGCAGACGGCTGCTTACTTATGGTCTACTATGGTGATTCTGGAGTCTGGTATCCCCAACACGGCACAGCTGTTGAGAAGTTCTTGTTTGCGCTGAGCTCCTTGATTGTAGTAGTTTCCTGTACATATTGGGAGGACAAGTTAGGCTCTAAATATACCGTGATGACAGGAGGATCTAAACGTAAGTCTAAATTATGTTTGGGTGAAACATTTCCAATGATTTAGAAATACCAAATGTTCTTTAGCTATGTAAAATGCTCCTCTAACATCAGTTAAGTTGGATCTAAATAAAATACAGTGCTGCACAGATGTGATTTATGTTTAATAGGTTTTAATTACTTTCTAAAGATTACATTTGTAGTTGTATGTAGCTCATCAATAATCATAATATTAGAAACCCCTTGTTTTTTTTCCAACATGATGGACACTAATATTTTTAGGCATTTCCTACAGAAGCTAGTTGCTCTGGACATTTATGTTATTCACTGTGTGTGATTGTCAGATTGCGCTGCTTTACCCTTCTTTTCAATCATCCTTAAACCTGAGACTGATTATGGAAATGCACACTTTAGGATTAGACGTGTATGTGAGCTGCTCTTTCACATTCCTTTACTTGTATACTTTCCAAACAGTTTTTTGTTCATTCACCTAGTAAGGAATTCATGTATGAAAAGCGTGCTGAAGTTGATCTTGTGCAAACAATAATGTGCGGTCACCATACCTGCGGATAAACACAGCAAATGAACGTTGACTTCTAACTCAACGAGTCGTACGATCGTTGGCGCGAAGAACATACATTCATCATCCGGATGCGCAGTTACGATCAGAGCGCTGATGTCGTCTCCGTTCATTTCTCCACTTGATAAAACATTCATAACACGTTTCAACGACTTCACCAACGACCGCCGATGTCGATAGTAAATGCATTTTAGCCAAATCAGATAGGATAAAACTATGAAGACAACGATGTAAACACTCATTATTTTGACCGTTGCCGTAAACAATCCGTGTGAAGACAAAAGTCTAACATGGGAATGGTTCCACGTGTAAAAACACATCTACAGTCTGTCTGATATACCGTACGTTACCCCGTCTTTGAAGAATTGCATCAATAAAGTATTATAATTAAGTACAACAAAGTAATAGCTGCCAACGTTTAGGCCCACAATAGTGTGTTTTACTCACTTGAGCTTTCTCAGTTCATTTGAGTTTAAAACAATTTATAAGGAGAACAAATACATTAATGTGGTACATAATATTTTTGAATAAAGAGGACCTTTAAATGTTGAGAAAGTTATACAAATCAAACGAAATGTGTTTTTGAAAAGTGAAAACAACAAACTCCAGGTACGTTGCCGTGTTTGAGGGGACGATTTAGCTGTCACACCGCTTTATCCTTACAGGTATATAAATAAAAATACAAAATTAAAATGTGACGTATTTATGAAAAGGGTTATACAACAGTCCACTGAGTCTCTAAATCTGTCAATTATAGTTTATTGTACGTAAATATTTGTTGACGAATTCCAGTCCCCCGTGGATTCAACCGAGCGAGGACAATTTATTTTACCCTGCTAGGACATCGACCGACAAATGCGGCGCAGCCTTCAGTCTGCCCAGTCGTCCACATCTCACAACCCGCGGATTTACAATCAACAATTGACACATATTTCTACACAGGGATACATTTCTCTCTCATCGGTATTTTTTCTAAATATGGGGTGAGTACATATCGCTGATAAGCAGCAAAGCAACACGTCTAATTAGCACGCAATTTAAGCGCTCCGGTCTACGATGAAAATCTGCCTTGCAAGATGGCGACGTGGTTGAGAATTCAAAGGTGAAATACAGGCTAAGTTAGCTAGCTAGCGACAACAACAACATCGTAGACGTTGTCTTATTACTCTGTAATGTTAAAGTAGCGTAACCTTTTAAGCTGACGTTCATTATTGTGCGTGCTTTTGGTGCATTTCCGGAAGAGCTCTGTTGTGGAAATAGACCCATCCCCCAAGATAAACTACAAATCCAATTGCGTTTACATGACAGGATGGTGTTAAAAGACAACAATAACAACACACAGGAGCAGTATTTATCGCTGCTAGGCCGTGTATGAGGCCATGAAGTTCACCACGGCTACTGGGTTTGCGTGGAAACCACCAGAGACCATCGCTAATGCTTTCTAAAATTAACTGGACGAAGAACTTCAGCGTGTAACGAAAAGCTAACTAAACATAAGTCCTTCTTTTGCCTGAAACTGCACGCCTCTTCTTTCAAAATGCATGGAACTACTTTGGAAAATACAATTAAAATAAATAAATTTAAAGGACAGATGTAGGGGAACACCCAGGAGCGAATGTACTGTAGTCACAATATGTTTTAAAGTAACGTTACATTCATGCGTCGTGTCAAAAGATATGAGAAAGGGACAAAGTGTAAACTGAAAAGGTCCATTCATTGATTCCTATCATGAATTTCTTTGCAAGTTATTACAAATGCAAGGACAAAAACTGAGGAACAGGTTGTGGATAGTCAGGTCACTGACCAGAGCTGCAGCAGCTGCTTCTGATGCTAAGCATATTCATATTATTCAGTTGCTTTGTATATTAAAAATCAGGGATTTGATGTCTTGCAAACCAGGGAGAGTGTCAGGCTTGAACCCAGGAGGCCTGCTTTTTTTTTTTTTCTTCATTTTTTCATTGGGAGCGCAGGAACAAATAATGTATTTATAAAGACCTCCATGTGACAAAATCCTCCCCAACAGCACCAGTGCAACACTTTTTTTTTGTTTCCTGCCTCATTAATCGTCAGCCATACTGGTGTATATTCGGTCATCACCCCAGAGCTCCTAATTTTTAAGCATTCATTTGATTTAATTTAGTCATGTTGTCAATTTCAGTTGATTGGTCAGTTATCCTTTTGGTCTATCAACTTAACCAAAGACCCCCAAAGTTATGTAGGAGTAAATTAAGTTAATAAAAGAACAGAACAGGCAGCTGAAGTGATGCAAAGTGCTCTCTCTGAGCTTTTCTTTTGTCGTTTTTTTTAATTGCTCCTCACATTTTGACAATTTGCTTTGAGAGGATGTGTTCGCTCTTAGTTTGGCTGAAAACCAAAAGTTACGGCTAAAAAAATGAGACTTTGCCTCACATGCAGTGAAGAACCAGATCCATGACCTGTTTGGTGTTTGTGTAGAAAACATAACCCTTCCTTTACTGCTTTTATGGTTTACAAATTTATCATGCAAAGTTGTCATTCTAAATGGGTAAAGGCTCTTTAATTTATGGAGGAAAAAAAAACATCCTCAACCACCAGGCACAGTCAATGTGGCTGGCTAGGTTTTTTTTTTTTTTTTTTTTTTAAACTAGTCACTGATGATATTTTTAGTGTCACTCTTGAAATTGTGAAAGTGGATCTCAAATTATGGGACCAAGCGCACTATGTGGCCTGCGGATTGAAATAAAATAACAGCTTCCCACCCTGGTTATGGTGGCAACGGTTGGTGCTTTTCCATCCCTGAAGTTAGCATCATGATGTCTTGGCATTGTGGCCATGCTGTAAATCTTGCAGACCTAGAATAAAAATGCCTGAGCCAGCAGAACACAGACGATATTTTGGATCCCTGTGACAAAAATATCCAGTGATGTGCGTGTGTGTGTGTGTGTGTGTGTGTGTGTTTTCGGTTATTTAAAATAGTATTAAAATAGTAATATATTTTAGACCACTGTAAAGAACAAAACAAAATCCAGACTGGTAACAAATTTGACAGTCGAATCAAGTTATCTCAGTTATCCATTTTCGAAGAACAGGCCCTGTTCTTTCGACCCACAGAGATACTGTTTTGGTGTTTTCCAGAGCTGCAGCTGCACAGCATTATGTCGTTTTTTAATTTACCAGTTGTTCAAAGATCACCCTTGCACTTTTGGTTTCAAAGCCTTGATTTAGATTGGTAAAGTAAGAGCTAAGAATGGTGTATTTTAGATTTGATTCTAATTTATTACACCTACTCCGGTAATAAGAAGTGACCTCAGCAGAGCCGTGCTTTAGGCCTGCACTCACCTGCATGGAAACAGAAATATTTAAGAAAAGTGATGCTGCACTTCTCTGTCTTTTTGTCCAATAAGTTCAGTGTTTTTAACCTACATACTATCAATAAGATTTGTGGCGCTCCCTCTTGCAGTGCTAAGTTAATGTAGTGCATCCTAACTTGATAGCATACCAGACGCTCAATAGACTTCTACTCTCTCTGACTGATGCTGCAGCACCATGCTGTATTTCTAGTTTGATTTAATGTGAGTTGTCTGCGTCGTTTTCTTAGATTCTTTCTCAATACATTCTCTGTTTCTGTCTTGGTCCAGGTGGTTTGTGTCTCCAAACATGGTCTAGCTAAAATCCCTGAAGCAGCAGCAGCAGCAGCACTGAGTCAGGATGTCCAGTAGCTCGGGCTACCCCTCCAGCCAGGGGAGCTTCAGCAGCGAGCAGAGCCGGTACCCGCCACATTCTGTCCAGTACACCTTCTCCGGCTCGCGCCACCAACAGGTAAAACTTCCCCACCACAATGTTGTATTTGAGTTTACAGCCGCGTTTTGTTTTTGTCTTAATTGTGCCAGCACTGTCGACACTGTAGGCTTTTGCGCGTTGACTTTATTTTACTTCTATGAGTAATAATTATAAAAAGTAAAGAACTTTTCTAAAAGTTAGACAGTGTTTTACAGTGAAAGTAGTGACAAATGGCTCCATCTTGGATCCTGAGGTCTAAATTGATCTTTTTCTGCTATTGAGTGCAGGGTTTGACTTGAGGATTTAAAGAGTCAAAACTAATTAACCATATTGGTACTGTACAAGAAGCACAGTTACTAAATACAATGAAATGGTTACATTTGCCCGTTTGTTTCGTGCTACATCTTTCCTGTAGTTTCCTACCCATCACTGGGTCAGGGTTTAATTCAAGGTAATCTGTTGTGATTGTTGTGTCGTCCCATCTTGACGAAAGATTCGAGCCAGATTGAGCCAGATTTTCCAATAAAAGCATTTGGACTCGGGGTCACCGTTGACCTCTGCACGGAGCAGTACCGATGGTTGCTTGGAAGAAGAGTTCGTTGCATTGAAATGCACTAACGAGTAGAATTTGGGCTCATGGGATCAACCAGTTTATTTGTATTAAATCTATGAACATTGTAGGTCAATCACGGCAGAAGTTCAGAGATATTTGGGCTGCGTCGTAAATCCGTGTTGGCGGTTAAGCTGAACAGGTAGCGTGTGTCTACTGACCTGTTCATGGCCGATCTGCAGCTACGCACGGAGTCTGTGGTGCCGGCTCAGCCGAGCTCGTCAGGATCGTGGTTTCAGTCTCTCGGTTGCCCAAACCCAGCTGCAGCAGCATGTTCAGTACATCGACAACCTGCTAGTGAAACGTTGCTGTTTTTTACCTGCTGTGGAGCAATACTACCAGTGTTTGTATTTTTATTGACTGGTTTTATTCATATTTAAACTTTAATAAGGCACTCATTTAATGACATTATATTTTTAATATTTGTACAATTTTGGCCTGTTTACAAATTTTTATATTAAAAAAAGTTTGTCAATTAAAATATAGGCCCTAATTAAGATGAACAAATGGTGGCGAATATTCTGGTCTCAGTACTGATCAAATATTTGTGGTATTCAGTTCAATCATAATTATGTAAAATTTGTTTAATATTGAATTGCTGCTCGCTTTCCAGTTGTGTGTTCATTTGACTGTTGTGAATATTGGATAATGTTTGTTGGTCATTTTGGACGGCGTCCTTCTGAGAAGCTTACTTTCACAGAAAACGGTCAGCGGTACATTTCTTGGCATTTGGATTGTTTGCTTAAATCTGGGACAAAACTGGAGTTATAAAATGTTTCCTGTAACTGCATTTGCTTGTTCAGGTTTGTTTGGTCAAACTGGGCTGATAGCAATTATGTGGTCTTTACCCAATAGCTTTTTGGATAAAAGTGTTGGTGTATTAGAAAGAGTTTAATCAATTATCTTGTCATCAACAAAATTATTTTCAGTTTTACGCATCAAACCGGAGCAGTGCTA